GGAGTTATATTGCTTGGAAGGGGTGACGATAATGGAAAATAAAATCCTCATACCCAGAAAGCTACGTGCGGAGGTACTGGAATCGCTCCATTCAGCGCATCAGGGATCAATGGAATGTTGGCAAACGCTAGACAGCGGCTGTTTTGGCCAGGACTGGACGCGAGCATTCGTCAAACCGGCCCAGTGCAAAGTATGCAACGTAATAGCTCCATCACAACCCAAGGAACCCCTAATGCCGCCTCGAACCCGAGTTCCCATTTCAGAAGAATGTGACGGACTTCTTCGATTTACGAGGGAAGAACTATCTAGTATATGCAGATAGATACACGGATGGGTAGAAGTCACTCTGATGTCGTCCGGGAATGCCAAGGCTACATGTGACGCCCTACTGAAACTGGTTCTGCACGTATGGCGTGCGGAGGAACTTTCAACCAATGGCGGACCACCGTTTGACTCCAGTGAATTTAACGGTTCCTAGATAATTGGGGCATAAGAAACGAACATCATCGGCATATTACCCTCAAAGCAACGGGAGAGCAGAACTGGCCGTTAAAACGCGTAAAAGGATACTTGTTGATAGCACGGACAGTTACAGTCGCCTATGCCATGACCAGGCAGCTAGGTCCCTACTGACTCATCGCAACACCCGGTGAGACCTACATATGTCTCCAGTGATGATGCTCTACGGTCGGCGTGATAAAGGACCATCTCCCAGTGCTCCAGGACCCGATATCGAATCCACAAACGCTGGAGAGAAATCGGTCATTATAGAAACAGCGATGACAAAAAAGACACTTAAGGAATGAAAGAGAATACAATCTAAAAAGTCACCCACTTCAGGAAATGAAAATCGGGAAACGGTGCAGATACAGAACCAAGTTGGTCCATACCAGCGCCCGATGGGCAAAGACAGGAAGGGTGGTGGAAACACTGGGTAACCGGCAGTATAATGTACGCATGGATGGGAGTAACGGGTAACCCGTCGCAATCGCAGATTCCTCCGAAAAATAAACCCAGTAGTAGATACTCCTTGCCACTTGATACCTGAGGTGCCCCCAGGAATGTTGGATACCATAGACAACCCAACAGGGCCCCGAATACCGGGAGAATGGTCCACCACTGATATGGATCAAAACCAGCCCGAAACATCCGACACTCTACCAGAACCGATGGAGGTAGATGACACAGCATCCCCTGGAATGATGGAGGTTGAGGAAGACCAACCGGGCGTCGTAGCAGAAGGGTGACGCGACCACCCAGGAACCTATCCCCACAGATGTGGGGCACGTCCACGACTACTCCAGAGCCTCAAAACATTGGACCACAACGCAAGTATCTTGTGGCCCCGAAGGGAGGGGGCGTGTAGAGGTGGAATCGAACCTAAGACGCCCAGTTACAAGACCGGAATGGTCTTGGTGTCACACCCCATAGAAGTAGACTAAGCCCGCTTACATGAGAGGCGAGTGGGCTACTTAAACAAGACATTCACAGCAACGAGTGGCTTGGCAGATACACGTCGTCTTGCTGCTACCTTACACTGATATTGAAAAGTACTAATTATATGACAAAATATTTTCAATTTCTATTCATTTTGGAACCTTACTAAAAGAAAAAAATATTCTCTCTCTAGTATTGATATTTGTTTAACTTCAAAATGCATTAGTTTTTCCAGGGGAGAGAACTCTTTATTCAGAAATTAGATTAAAATGATGGGCCTTTCAAAACTAAAACCTATAATAATAATCTTCAATGTAGTTTATGTATTTAAAGTTCCTTAAGGTTTACATTTTAAACTGAAAAGATGTAAAAAAATAAAAGTCAACCTAAATTGTTTTTTAAACAAAGATTTTGGGCCGAAATCAAATTTGTTGACATTTTCAATAAATTTATTGGAAATTATATACTGATCACAAAATTTGGTTTCTTTCATTTCTGTAATAAGTCAGTAAAACCCTAACATCCTTTTTAATGTTTGTGGCCAGATACAGATTCATAGTTTCCTAATTCATTATTCTAAGATTCAGTTTAAAAATTGTTTTTTGCCAATAAAGTTACATTGGTTTTAGTTGAGGAAAAGAAAAAAAAAATTGTAAATAGCAAATAATATTCATTCAGTTGCCATATTTATTTTATAAATAAGCCTTTTCACATATCCATTGTAGTAGTAAATGCAACAACAGCACAAAGTACAGAAGAAATTGAAAAGATTTACTGTACAGTAGACAATGCCAAAGCCCAATGCAAATTGCAGGAAATTACAAATCCTTGTGATGAGAGACATAAATGCCAAAGTGGGGAAAGAAATAGTGAAATAGTTGGCAAGTTTGGACGAGGAATTCTTAAATGAATGCAGAAAAAAATGGGTCCAATGATGCATGGTGAACAATCTGGTAGTGGCTAACAGAGGGTTTCAAGAACACCCAAGATGTTTACGGACAGGAAGAGAAACAAAGAACCAAATTGACTACATGACAACCAACAAGAACGCAGTTTTACACTGTAAAACATGTCCATGTGACAACTATGTGAGCAACCAACTTCCAGTGATATGTAACTGGAGAGTGACATTATGGAAGTTGAAGTGAACCAAAGCAAAACCCAAATTGCAATGCAACAGACACCTGAATGACCCAAATTTAAATAAATATATGGACAGTGTTAAAAGCAAATACAATGAACTAAATGAGAATGGAAAATCTAAGTGGGAGACATTAAAAAAAACTTTAGTAAAAATCAGCAAACAAAATCATTCCAAAGAAAACTAATCAAGGAAAAATAATAATGGATGATAGATGAAATTCTTAACACGATGAAAAGGAGACAGCAAACAATGCCAAGGTATGGCACAGAATATAGGACACTGCACAAAGAAATTAGAAACAAAAGCAGACAAGCAAAAGAGGAAGGTCTTAATGAAAGAATGAGCATCACCGATAAGACAGATATCAACACAAAAGAATAAAATAATTAACAGGACAAAAGATGTGCTCATCAACAGGATGCAGAAAATGCACAGAGGGAAGGCTGATAATAAAGAAATTCTTCAAAGATGGAACGAATCAGAGAACTCTTTCATGCTCAAAGAGGAAAGCCTAAAATACACAGAAACATGGTAGGCCCAGATGCAATTGTAATAGAGACACTGACAGTTTTAGATGATTTCAGCAGTGACAAAATTACAGACATAAGAAATGAAATATACAAAAGTAATGATAAACCAGAAAACCCAAGTAGATTCATTTTCAGGTCAGGTGCAAACAAATGTGAACTCAATGTAATGAGACACATGACAAAACTTAAGATTCATATTCTGATGAATAAATCATGCAGCAGAATTGAACCAGAAATAATACAAGAAAAATGCAGTTTCTTTTATGTCATTAGAACAAGGAATGCAATTATGCTTGGAAGGACATCAGAAAGAAAAATACAAATGCAAAAGGAGATATATATATAATTTCCCTTTCTCTGCTGTGTAGTGATAGCTTAGTAGTAGGATCTCTGATTGATGCCAAATTGTCCGGGTTTTGACCTTGGCTTGAAGCCATTGGATGTCTAGCCACACTGATGAGTTGTGATACAGTAAAACAGATTTGTATGTGAATGACATATTAGAAAGAGATATATATATGTATGTATGTTTTATAGATTACACAAAGTAGTTAATAAAGTATATCAGAAAGAACTGTTTGAACATCTAGGTAACCTTGACATATTTGTGAAGGATATTAGAATAATCCAGAACCTATACTAGGAGTAAACTGCCTGCATACAGATAGAAAGAGACATAAGGCAAGGATTTATCAAACTTTACCATGAGGTGATCCCGAGAGAATTAGAAGTCCTATGAGGATTCATTATCAGTGGCAAGAAACTTAACATGAGATATGTAGATGACACAGTGTTGATAGCAAACATGGAAAAACTACACAAATTCTTATAGAAGGAAGTGAAGTAAAGGAAAGCGAGAAAAAAGCACTAAACATCACTTGTAAGAAGACAGAATTTATGATTGTCAGCAAAAGGAACAGCCCAACATGTGAATTACAAATTGGAGACATCAAAATCAAGCAAGTACAAAAATTTAAATATCTGGGAAGTGTTTTAATAGAGGACAGAAAATACAGCACTAAAATCCAAAGGTGGATAGGGATTGTGAAAGTTGCCTTCTAAAATCTAAGCAAAATATTAATAAGAAAATTTCACTAGAAACAAAGAAAAAAAGTACTGAACTGTTAAGTAACATTGGGTCCTCCTATATGGTGGTGAATACTGGACAATCTCTGCAGAGAATATCATGAACTGAACATGTGAGCAATGACAAAATTTTAGGGAAAATCTAAATAAAAAGGACACCTAACAAAGAAAGAGAGCTTAAAAAATTTACCACTCACAGGACTTATTGAAGGCAAGAGGTATTCAGTGCATAATCTACCTAAGGAGTTTGTGTAAATGGCTGGCAGAACAGGGATTAGGAGAGGTAGAAAAAAGACTAAATTTGCTAAGAGATACAAATGACTGGAAATTGTGGACATGGCACGTTGAAAAATTACTCAAATTATCCAATAAATGTATATTTTTCAGCCAATTAACATATTAAAAAAATGATCCCCACTGGAGGCCCCATGTTCTACATGATGCTTAATAAATAACAATAACTTGACAAAAATGAATACAAATAAACAAGAACAGAAATAGATCAATTTAACAACAATACAATTATTTTTTTTTTTGCTGAATTTCTCTATTATGCATCTTTATATAATCTTAAAAAAAAAAAAAAAAAAAAAAAAAAAAAGAACTGTCCATTTTTTGATAAGCACTTTTTAAAATTGTATATTTATCAATAGATATCCTAAGATATGATATCTTCTTCAAAAAAAAAAACAACTGAACTGAATTCATTATTAGATAACAAAGACAAAATCTATTGACAAGCAAGCTTGGTTGGTGGTTTGTTGTGAAAGACAAATAACTGCCATATTTTTAAGTTGGCTTACCAATAGTCGATTCACAATAGTTTGCTTCAGCTACTTCATTGGCAATGTTTGCACCCATCAACACAGCACAAGAGATGTTTAATTCCGATTCAATCACTTCAGAAATAAGACGGATACCACCTTCTTTTTTGACTTCAAATCCCTTGTGGAATAAAAGAAAATTGATCAAACATACAGAAATAATAATATAGAATTTTGTGGAGGGAAAGGAAATAGATTTAGTGCTATTAATATCAAACTAGTGACAGAAGAGCAACTTACCTTAATTAAAGATACACCTATTGCATTGTTCTTTATAGTACCTTTCAATGATGAGCAAATTCCTCGTACAAACTGATGAGGGACAACAAAGATCAAAATATCTGAATCGGCAGCAGCTTCTTTTACATCAGGAACAGCAACCTGGAATTGAAAATAGAAACTCAAAAAGTGAGAAAAAAAAAATTAGATATCAAGTGTAATATGAGGGAGAGATATGGAAGAAAGATTTATACTCCTGTTTGTATCCCCCCCCCGCAGTTATGGGCATTTTTATATCGTTGATATAATAACACCATATTTCATGGATCAAACAGAATGGCTGAAAGGAAAAGAAATAACAAACATGCTTCATTCTCAGAGAGACTTTTATACCACTAAGACATACACAATATATATATTTTATATGGCATTTTAATGTATATTTTAAAAGCTAAAAAAAATACAACCGGTTTCATTCCAGCCTTATCAAGTTTATTTCTGGGATATAAAAAATAAATAAATGTAACTGATATTAATGATAACCAATGGAGGGGGGGGAAAAAGCTATTGATGGTGAATACAGAGAAAATTTAATTTTTTATACAAGTGATGGATTGTATTATACAGTGGTGTGATGTGTAAATTGTTGTCATTTTACATTTTTAATTTTGTGCGTGTATGTTGTTAGTTTTTGATTTTGTGGTCTGCACAGTATAGTAGGGTCAGTTGGGCACCATCATGTGAGAAAAAGAGCATCATGATGCAATTCACCCTGCTAGAAATTTGGAAATGGCATGCTGTACTGTTTGGCATTTGTGATAGAAGCTCCAATACAAACATTTCAGAGTCTTTGGATGTCAATCTGAGGACAGTGTAGAGGATTCAGAAAGAGTTGCAGGAGTCTAATGATGATTACAAAAGTGTTTAGAGTGATCGCTAGTGATAGCAACATTATGCCTCTATTCAGCTTCCTGTAGAGCCTCTGACTCAACATGGAGGACTACATCAAGTGTCTTGAGGAGGTAGTGTGGCTCCTGGGTTAAGAGGGTGTCTGTTGGTAGACCCTATGTCTGGTAACAGGATTTTGCACCATGCCACACAAGCAGAACACAGTCATGCTGCCAGAAAATTTCTGCAGTCACATCACTCCTTACATCTGGCCACCTAACTCACCAGACTGCAAACCTTTGATTATTATGTGGAGTGCTGTTGAGCAAGAGATCACTAAAACTACTTGTAGCACCAAAAATGAACTGAAGGCAAGGATTATGGCAGCATTCACCAACTTAAACAAGAAGAATTGCAGGAGATTTTGAGGTTGTGGCTGAAGCCAATGGTGATTTTATTGAATAAATTTACTGTTTAGTATTTCAAGATAATTTTGTGTAATTTTGGTAAATATATCTGTTAAAATGAGATGTTAGTGTTATTTTCATTTTTGCATAATTTATCCATCACATGCTGAGAGAAAAAAAAGTTTAATCTATCACAATGTTTTATTTGTTGTAAAGCAGGTGTTTATAGAAAATTAGTTGACTAATCCCAAAACAAAGAACCTTTCCTTTAGGCTAGATTTAAAAAATTTACCAACCTCATTTGACCTTCAAGGTCAACTATTTTCTACATATTTTGCTTTCTTTTTAAAATACTAAATTTTCTTTTACTTCCTTTCTTTAGTTTACCTTTCATATTTTATTATTGAAACTTAACATTTATTTGATTTATCAAGAATATTAAATTTGTATACTGAATTAATTATACACTTGTTTCAACAAAATATTTAATGATTATGATTAATTAGCTTTAAAAATATCTATCTCACCACGATTTGGAGATCTGAAATCATTCTTTGTTATTATAATGTTGGGATAACATCAACAGAACAAAGAATTAGTACAATTATCTGAAAAAAAAAAAAAAAAAAAATCCTGGTATATTAATGACTACAATTTATAGATAACATTGGTTTGCTGTCAAGTATTGTACTGGGAAGGCAAGAAAAATAACTGCTAAACAGTTGTACTGTTTAGGTGTGTGTGGGGCATTTTAATTGGCTGCTGTTTAGCTTTGAGAAGATCACAAATGCACACATTGAAAACATATGAAATGTTTTGAAAGAGTAGATATCAGCAACAAATAGGTAACAAGTGACGACAACCAAACACACAAGTCAATCAGTTATGTGCCATGCAAGATACATGCTTAGGTATCATGTATCTTTCAACATATGACTGATGAGACAAATTTTTTTTCCTGCAGTAGCTTGCCATTTCTTTTTGCAGTAGACCAGTTGTCATCCAAGGCTATAGAACCCAGTCTGTCCTGCTATTTACCCATAGCTGGGAGGAGAAGAAGAGGATTTATACCTTTCTCAAAAGTATTAGCATGTTAGTGAATGTAATGGATTCGACTGGAATTTGAACACAGCTCTCCGATTCCTCAATGTGAGTCACTATCCATTACTCCATCGTACACTAAACATTTCAAAAGACAGAAAATGAGTCAAAATCAAGATGGTATAGATTAAATGAGATAACAGAAGAATTTGGTCTAAGAAGAGAAAGAAAGAAAGAATAAATTTTGCATTTCATTTCTTCATAAAAAAAAAAACAAAAGCATAGTAATGAAGAAGGTGATTTAAGAAATTTAACAGGATTTTTTTGCTATTTGTTTTGATAGAATTTTGTAAGTGACGAATCATACAGTGGTAAATCTAGAAGCAGTTTTTGTGTAGAGAAAATTGATCTCACTTCAAAAATATTTTGTTCTTAATTTTTTGGTTTGATATTTTGAATATTTCTTTTAAAAATTAGAGTTTGATCCAAGAATACTCATCACTAGTTCATTTCTATCATTCAATAAATACCATGTTAATGCAGAAAACCTTTTTGTAAAATTTTTTTTATTAAAACTGACCAAATTTGGCAGACAGCAATACTCTTGAAGAAATGAACAGCTTTGTTGCCAACAACTTGTAAAATTAGCAAAATATTGTTTATAATATTACTAGAATTTTTTGCAACATTATTTGATGAGTGTTTAAATCCTCACAGTATTTAGTATTGTTGAAGTTATCACTAACATTTTTTGTTGAGATTTACAAACTTTACGTTTCACTGAATTTCACAAACCAATCATTTTAAATTTTCATTAATTTTTCAAAAACATTTAATGAAGATTTATTGTACTAACCGACACACACTACACACAAAACCAACTTTGTACCTCCTTACCTGTTTGCACTCCCCCAAATTTGGTTTTGATCGATCAATGTATTGCTATTTTACAGGGTGTGTCAGACAGACTAATGGAAGTCACAGAATTTTATGTAGATAGATGCACTTTCAATTTGTGGACTAACTAATTTTGCAATTATAAGTCACTAGTAATGAGTTAACATTTGGCTTTTAACTAATGAATATGTAAAAAGTGCTTTTAACTTTTAAAAAAATTTAAAATAGCAATTTTTAGTTTAATTTAAAAATGATGGGAGGTATACTAATTAAGAGAATATATTAAAAATTTAGTGATTAACCTTTTTATGATTCAATATATGTTTTAGATAAAAGTGAAATACTTCCAGAATAAAAGTAATTTAAAAATATCCTGAATGTATCAACTAGTAATAAATATAATGAATCAATTTTGGGAAAGAAAATGCACAAGTATTGTCATAGATATTATCTTGGATATGGAAGAAGAAGAAGAAAAAAGAAGTTACAAAAATGTATACTTTTAGAATTGATGAAGTGAAGGCTGGGATAAATCATTTGGAAATAAATTAGTAAATCAACTTTTGCATTTTCTTTAATATATATTTCACTAAAATTATAAACACAGAAACTATATCTCCTTTATAGGACAATTATTTACTACTTATTTTGTCATTAAATCAATAAATCTTACAGCACTATCCAAAGAAATTACAAAATATTCCCAAATGTTCATACATATTTTAATAAAATACACATGTTGAATTATGGAAGAATAAATTATTTTAAGAAAATGCATATTTTACCAGCTTAATTTATTAATGCTATTTGGTTTATTAAGTAATAATAAGAGCATTTTTCTGACATTAACATTACTAAACATGGAAAAATATTGAAGAAATGACATCTTTTCAGATATTCCATCCACCCAGAACAGTTCCAAGAGCCTTTTGCAGTCTTCCAGTAACTGAAGAAGCTTTTTCATTAAGATAATTCTGGTAACACTGGAATCCAAAAGGTGCTATACCTGAAGACACGCTGTAAATAAATATGAATGCTAGCATTACACAGAGGGAACAGGACGCTCTTTTCATTAACTAATTCCAGAATTGTTTTTCCCTGTTTATTGCATTCAGTTAATCTAATTAGGAGCATTACTTATTTAAATCAGCTTTTACAATGTCTGAAAGGAGGTCAGAGTAGAGGATTCCATTCTGATCAAATTATATACAAAGTATCATTTTCTTTGGATGAAAACCAGCCTTTGGTTCAGTTAGTGATAGTTACTTGAACCTCGACTTATTGCTTTTTTCACATTGTTGCAAAGTATCTACTTTTCTTCGCCTGGCACAATTTAAGGAAAAAAAATATTAAGCATGGTATGTGTGAGCCATATATGTCATATATAAAATTGATTAATATAACCAAGTTGGTGCTGATGATTTCAGTACTTGATGTGAATATTTTGAGCATATTGGTTTATCTTCTGTGTTGTATTATACTGATAAGCAAGCACAAGACCAAAAGTATAGAGCACCCTGTGAGGCTCAAACTCGTTACTTAGTTGTGGCTGATTTAGTAAGACAAGCTTGCTAACCATTACACCATGTTGAGGTGTATTATATTGATTTTTCTCAAATAATATCTTCAGGTGATGACTATCAGCATCAACCTGGTCTACCCAACTCTAGAACAAAAAAAAAAATCCAGTACAAACTTTTGAAAGCCATTTTACATAACAGTTTAAATCAGTCACAACACCACAAATCATTTTTTGTATCAAAGTTTCATTTTTATCTCCCTTAATAAATCAAGAATGACAAACACAGATGGGCTGGCCATGTCCCTTGTCTCAGAGACAACAAGTGGACTATTAGAATGACAGAGTGGATACCAAAGCAGTGGGAAAGAACCAAAGGCAAGATGGTGCAATGATCTGACCCAATACTTCAGCCCCACATGGCAAGAGATAGGAAGTGGTGGAGGCCAATTAGGAAGGGGTTCCTACAAAAGGAGTGAGAAGGTTTGGCTTTAGATTAGAGAGAGAGACGGGAAAGAGAGAGAGACGGGAAAGAGAGAGAGACGGGAAAGAGAGAGAGAGAAAAGGGAAAGAGAGAGAGAGAGAAAGGGAAAGAGAGAGAGAGAGAGAAGGGAAAGAGAGAGAGAGAGAAGGGAAAGAGAGAGAGAGAAGGGAAAGAGAGAGAGAGAGAAGGAGAAAGAGAGAGAAGGAAAAAAGAGAGAAGGGAAGGAAAAGGAGAGAAGGAAGGGAAGGGAGAGAAGGGAAGGGAAAGGGAGAAAGGAAGGAGAGAAGGGAAGGGAAAGAGGAGAGAAGGGAAGGGAAAGAGGAGAGAAGGGAAGGGAAAGAGAGAGGAGAGAAGAGAAGGGGAAAAGAGAGGAGAGAGAAGGGGAAAAGAGAGAGAAACTTTAAAGCAAAAATGTTACTTATTTTCTTTGTCAAAAAGATGCTGTTATATAAAATCAAAAGATTTTTTTGAATGAAGATAGTTAATCCTAAGTATTCTGAATGCTATGGAACAACAAACAGAACATTTGAGCCAATCCAATATTAAGCTTCTAAGCAGATAAGAAATCATTAAAAAGTGAAGATAACTTCCCACTGATATTAAGTTTATGAGAGTGCTGAAAAGATTTCAGCTTATGAAGACCTTAAGAAAAAAAAGAAAGAAAAAAGAAATAAAAAATTCTGATGTTTGTTCAGATTTTTAGTAGTAGGCCAGGCTGAAAACTTTTCATATGCATACAAGTTGTTTTTTCCATATGAAATTCAAATCTTGAACTTGTAATGGTTAAAGAGGCCAGATGTGTTATGACGAAATTAATAGTTGCTGACAAATCTGTTTTGTTTATGAGATATGAGCAGCGCAATAAACCTGACAAGCTGCGAGCTGAATTTTGATTTTAATTTTCAGTATAATGCTATAATGCTCATTGTCTATGTGATTAACAGAGATGAGTTGGATTAAGTGCATTGACAAGTGAGATTACATGGAAAAATATTTTATCTCCAAAAAAAAAAAAAAAAAAAAAAAATTAGCCTCGTATTCATGGAGATAAAAGCATACGTGACAGAAAATAAAACCTACAGAAATAACAGGAAAAGCGTGGTAAATTGTATGTTAATTTTTTACAATTTATTTATATTTGTGTGTGTATTTGTTTTGGTTACAATTGTTTTATGGTACATGTAAGGAGAAGAAGAAGTTATTTTGTATTATTACATGCTACATCACAGAGAGAAGTTGGACACGTGTTGAATTTAACATCTTTTGGTGGGATGTCTGTATTTCTGGCAGGAACAGTTTTTGTTACATGCAGGGAGCATTTTTATTATTTTTCATTTTTATTTATTTCATACAATATTTTTATGTTATTGCTTTATTTTATTTATTATTATTATTATTTCCTTTTATTTCTGGTGTTTACACATTTCTTTCTGGGTCCTGCCCAGGGACCTAAGGTTAGAGATGGCATCATGACACTTTCCACTGACGAAAAAAAAAAAAAAAAATTACATAGATAAAGCCCTTCGTAAAGTGTGGGCTGTACTTGTGAGAACAATTTTTTTTGTATCTCTTTGAGGCATGGGCTTCCAGGAATCCCTTCAATTAGTCTACTGGAATCTTTTCCATCCAATCCTAGGGCTCCAACTACAACGGGGGTTGTTGATGTTCCCATGTGCCACATTTTTGAGATTTCGATTTCAAGGTCCTTGTATTCTGATAGCTTTTTGAATATCTTCAAAGATACATTGCAGTCTGCAGGGACTGCCATATCAATAAGGAGGCACTTTTTTTGTTTGTGGTCTTTAATAACAATGTCTGGGTGGTTGGATTTGATTGTTCTGTCAGTGTGTATTGTGTAGTCCCATAGAATTGTAACAGGTTCTATCTCCGTAACTGGGTCTGGGTGGTGTTCATACCAGTTTCTTTCAGTTTCCTTCCCGTAGAAGTTGCAGATTTTCCAGTGCAGATATTGGCCCACTCTGTCATGCTGGGTTTTATATTGAGTGGGTGCCAATATTGTGCAACCTGATACAAGATGATCAATCGTTTCTGGATATTTATCACAGAATCTGCATTTTGGGCTAACACAGTATTTAAGTATATGTGCTTGATAATTCCTAGTTAACAAGCATTGGTCCTGTGCAGCAAGGATAAAACCTTCAGTTTCAGCTTTCAACCCTGCACTACATAGCCACTGATGGGTACGGTTTTTGTCTATGTCAGCTTGGTTGGTACAGTATTGGCCATGAAGCAGTTTATCTTGCCATTGTTACTGAATCTGGTCAGTTGCATTTGTTTTTGCTTTCTTTTTTTTAAGTATTTTGCATCTTCAGCTTGTATTTTGCTGTGCTTCACTTGTATTTCTGCGCCCATTTGAAGCTCCATTTTGAATTTGTTGGCTTCCTTTATTACGGGGTAAAGATGCTTACTACTTTCATGTTCCTTGACACATACCATCATCCAGTCTTCTGTAGTTTCCAAGTATCTTTGGAGGCCAATTGTTGTAGTTTTGTAGGACAGTTCTACTTGAACTAATCCTCTGCCTCCTTCGGATCTGGGCACATACAGTTGATCAACATCAGCTTTGGGATGATGCATGCGGTAGCAATTGAGAAGCTTTCACGTTTTGGCATCCATTCGCTTAATTTCAGCTATGGTCCAGTTAAGGACATTAAAGCTGTATTGCACCACAGGGACAGCCAAGGTGTTTATGGCTGATATTCTGTTTTTTGAGTTTAGCTCAGTATTTAGTACCAGACGTACATGCCTTTCTTACCTTCTCCTTCATTTGGGGGTGTTGTATGCTATCTCCTTTGCTAATTCCTAGGTACTTATAAACTTCATCATGCTCCAGTTCCCTAATCTTTGTGACAAAATCTAAATCTATTAAGGGTGTTTCTGTAATTCTACCTTTCTTGAATGTTACTTTTGCACATTTATCTAACCTGAAGTCCATTCCTATGTTGTCACTGAAGTATTTTACAATATTGAGGAGGCTCTTCAACTCACTGTCGTCTTTGGCAAAGAATTTGAGATCATCCATGTAGAGTAGGTGATTGAATATTTTCTTATTTATTTTGTAACCATAGCTACTGTTGTTCAGTTCATGCATAAGGAGGATTAAGGACAAACAAAATAGAAGGGGTGACAGAGAGTCTCCTTGAAGGATTCCACGTCGGATATTTAGTTGGTTGGATATGGAGATGCCCCCGGTGTGACTAAGGCATAGTTTGGTGTTCCACATTCCCATGCTGTGCTTAAGGAAATTTAATACCATAGGGGAGACTTTGTACATTTCCAAAGTCTTAAGGATCCAAGAATGTGGAACACCATCAAAGGCTTCACGATAATCAATCCATGCTGCGTTAAGATTTCTACGTTTTCTCCTGCAATTTTCCAGGATCATTTTATTTATCAGTAGTTGATCTTTGAAGCCATATGAACCTCTCCTGCATCCCTTCTGTTCCAGCGGAAGAATGCTGTTTGTTTTGAAAAAGGAGTAAGTATGATTCGTCAGGATAGACGTGATCAACTTATACGTTGTGGAGAGACATGTTATCGGTCTATAATTTTTCGGGTAGTCTGTTTCAGTTGTTTTTGGTCTTCAGTAATCCATTCCAGGATTTTATTGGGATTATTTACAAGCATTGATAATGTTTTTGCAAGGATTTTGTGGATAGATGAGAGATGATAAAGCCAGAAATTGGGTACCTTGTCATTTCCTGGGGATTTCCATTTTTGGGATTTCGTTAGAGCCTGCCCAACATCATCTGTGGATATATTTTCCCATTCTTGCAGAGGTGTATCCAGCATTCGTTCTTCTTCACGTCGGATTATTATTATTATTATTATGATGATGATGATGATGTCCCTACAAGTTCAATACCTGGCTACTGCAGTGATGAACAAAAACTTGGAGAGCCGAGTTAAAAGGGAAATAATTGAGACATCTGGAAAAGGCGTGGCATGTGGAACTAGGACAATCTACTCCAGTGGACAAAATAAAGGGTTCAGTTTGAAATTCCACTCACCTGAAGAAGGCTGGAGCATACAATGTACAAAATGTTGTGAATATGCCAATAAAGATGAGGACAACAGTCCGAACAATGTAAATAATTTACATTTTATTCTGGGTAAAAAAACCCCAAAAAACAAAGATTTTCTATAAGAAAACAATAATGTGAACGGTAAAGTTACTTTTACTTACCACGTTTGTGGGTAGTTTGTAGCCTGGCAGATACTTGACGTTTTCATGTTTTGTGTTGATGATATCTGTCAATTTCTGATCACCAATCATCTCCTCATAAACATACATCCTCACTTCTGAAACAAATTTATCTGGTTTCTTAGTGGCATTTACACCAACAATCTTTGCAATAGCCGACCCCCTGTTAAAAAGAAAAAAAAAAAAAAAAAATTAAGAATTTTATTTAAAAGAAATTCAAGATTTACATGTTGGTATTATTAGATAAATAAAAGAAAAGTCTATCTTGAATATTTTCTAAAACACTCACCAAAATCACTGGAGGGTTTAGAAATATATAAAAAAAACATAATTAATAAAATGAATATTATGGGGAAACAAAAGAATAGAGAATTCAAGTTTGCCATTTGAAAATTTGTATAAAGGTTTTTCTTTTTTTGATCTGAAAGAAAATTTTGGTTAAAAATTCACTTCTGAGTAAAAAAATTGTGAGCTTGTTTGTTTAATGGCATATCAACTCCTTATGGGTCATTTAATGCAGAAATTTAATTTTCTTATGAGTTTTGAAGTAATAAAAATATGTTATTGTTTTCACAATTGAATACATGGTAGATGATACTCAGCTTTTATGCATATACGTATTTGTGCAGACATAATTACTAGAGGCAGCGATGTCTGTTTTATATTGTAGTTTTGTTGAAGATATATTTTAGAATACAGTTTAAGAAATTGTAGGATATTATATGGATTAATGTCATGAAAGAAAGTTCTTTCATGTTGGTAATTTTTTTTTTTATATATAAAAAATGGGTTGCTTGTATTTTTATACTTTCATGGTGTTTTATTTTTGTTTGGGGGTTCACTATTTGTCGATATCTGGGACCCTACCAGATGCTACTACCCCAGGTCAGGCTGGATCTGGGAACAACAGCAATTAAGAGGTGCTTCCACACTCCTCAAAAGCTCTAATATCCTGATTAATGTCTTGCTGCTGGATGTAGTTTATCATTATACCCAGGACTAACGAGCTTGTCGTATCATTATGCAATCAACTACATAACGCTTATATACTTAAACAGCTTTAAAGGTATCTTGTCAGGATATTTTACATAAATATGAACAAATGTTTGGTGATTCCATAATTTAAAAACACTGAAAGAAACAAATCCTTTTTACAGAGAAAGTCCACAGGTTTATTCTTGAATTCAAATGTAACTAATTGATGATTATAATTATTACAGCAGAAATAAAACAAAAACATTGATTCGTATCAGGTTTTTGAAGTTGTTCAGTATTTTTTTTTAAGCAGTTCACCCCAAGCAAAGTGGAAGTGCCAAGAGCACACAAGGGGTTACAGAGAGTGAGAGTAAGGATAAAGAGGTATGTTTGAGGAAAGGATAAAGAGAAGGACGAGGATCAAAATCAAGGCATCAGAAGATGTTGATTGACATTACATTTTAATATTTGAAGATTATTCAGGGAAGCAAATAAGAGGAAGGGAGTTCCACTGTCAGGAAGTGCAAGAGAAGATGTTGGAGTCGAAGGGACGGTTACATTTAACTGTTTTGACAGTGAAAGGGTGGGACTGAGATGCCAACCTAGTAGCACACTTAAATTTATGCAGTTGGGGTACTAGAGAAAGTAGCTCATAAGAGCAGTTGATATGAAAATATTTGTAGAAAAGACAGAGGGAATCCACATCACGTCTGTGAGAAAGTGACTGTAGATGAGATGCCAGTGCTATCACACTGCATATCTGTCTTTGGATTTTGTTTAGAACCTAGAGATGATCAGTGGGTGCACCAGACCATATATGGCAACAGTATTCAATGCAAGGATGAATAGTAGATTTGAAGGATGGACTCGGACGAGAAAAATCTTCTGGCATGACAGAGAAATAAGTTTCTTTGCAGTAGATGAAGCTATTGATTCAATGTAGTTGTTCTACCTCAGGTAAGTGGAAAACACAAGACCAAAAAGGCACAGAGAGATGCTATCATGCTGATAAGAAACAGGGAGGTTTTCTCTATGGTGGGTAAATGAGAGCAGTTTCGTTTTGGAGGCATTAAAGTTTACAGGCCAGTTCCTACCCCAGTCAACCACAGATTAGAGGTCCTTTTCAAGACCAACAGCCAAGCTAACTTTGTCACCAATGCCAGATTTACTATTGAGACAGGAGAAAATGGTAATTGTCGTCTGCGTAGATGCCTACTTGAGAACTGATGACATCAGGAATATCATTGATGATCAGAAACAGTGTAGGACTCAGGATAGAGCCTTGGGGAACATCTGCATTCGTATGAAAGGAACTGGAGGAGAACTTGATTAGCATAACCTTCATTTCATGGTTTGACAGGAATGATTCTATTAAATCAAATAATTGTCCTGTAATACTGTATCCCTGAACCTTACAAAGAAGGCTGGCATACCAAGCCCTAAAAATAAAACCTTCATATTTAATTGAGATGTAGAATTATTAATACACTAAATACTGTTGATAAATACTTCAGAATAAAATATGATTGTTGAAAATGTGATTTTATGATGTTAAAGAATCTTACTGCATGGAAATTTTAAAAGTATTTTCTTTGTTTCATAACTCAATCCTTTACAAAGCATTAATTTTTATTGCCAAGACACCAATATATAATTGAAATAATAATAAAAGCAAAAACATTTTCAAGTTTTCAAATTGCCAAGTCATCAAACAGAATATCTGAACATTTTCTTCCAAATTCTTATTTTAATTTAAGAGATGCTTAAAAATAGCTGTTAATTTGATGTTTTTATAGAATTTATATTTGCAATTAAATAAGAGGTAACTTTTTTTTTCTTTACTAAACATTCACTCAATACAAAGTCCAAGAACCACTCAAAGAGTTCCTGAATGAGGTTGTATGTATAAGGGGAGGAAGTGAGGATATGTAGGATAGATAACAGTTGGTCCTACACTTGAAATGGTTAAGATTGTAGTGAGCAAGGAAGGATCCACTTGAGAGTGTGCTCCACAAAATAGCAGCAGTTTTCAGGAAGAACTTTCTTATCAATGGAATGAGGATGATTCAATCCTGTGTACATGGCATGGTGGGCCTTAACTGTAAAGAACTAAGGAATGTAGTTCATCTAAACATTTAGCCTGGAAAATAGTGATAGGTTTGCAATGTTTCATCAGTGGGGAAAGAATCTGTAGGGGTTGAAAATAATTCATTGCCCACAAAGGTACCTAAACACTTTTGAACTTTGCCAAGGCTTGAAAGTGAAGGTTGGGTAGCATCAGCAATATTCCATTTTTAGTTTAACTTGATCCTTGTAAAGATAGAGCAGGACAGGAAGAGTCAGTTACTTTCTGGAGCACTGGAAGAAACCAACCATTTTTCCAGTATATTTAATGATAGCCAAACTATTTAAGAGTTAATAATGTTAGCTTTACTTGTATTCTGACTAATCCCTACTCGGTAGAAGCATTAAGGGATTTTTAATATACATGCTTACCATTTAAAAAGAAAAAAAAAACTGTGATAGTATGAAAATATTCATGATGGAAAATAAAACTAAAATAGTAACAACTTTTGCATTAAATAATGACACCTGGAAGATAATGATATCTGATGATCATGTAGCAGTTATTAACCTCTTTATTCTTTGCCTCTCTTGATATTAATATAATTTTCTTTTCAGCCTTTTTTGTTATAAAAGCAAACACAAGAATCAAGTTGTAAATTGAACTGGAAAGTGCTTTAGTCATAAAGTTAGAGCATTTTAACAAAATTGTCCTACTAAAAATGTTGCTATGTGCTGTCTTTGTTGTGCTACAGTAACAAAACAAAAACATCCATAAATGGAAATGATATAAATCTGACAGGTTGATTAGACTTGGAGGTAATTCATGATTTTTTTGTCATCAAGAATTGTTAAAAATCTTGTTTTAAAAAAAGCTTACTCTACTAAGGAATATAAAGACTATGAATACACTTCTGATGTCCATCAGAACAGTGAGAAGGAGATATAGGAGTTAAACATGTGTTACTGTCATCTAGTGTTTGTGAGTTCAGTTAGTGAAATAGGAACAGTACAATAACTGTGATCACAAAATAACACAATAATCAACAGATATCCCATATATAAAAAAAAGTAAATAAAAAGATAGCCAGAGGGTAGTTGGCAGAAATGTTCTGTCTATAATAACATTTATAACAATAAAGATCAGAAAATATTTTAAACTAATTCAAGTAGGCTTATTCTGCAAGTGGGAAGATGCATTAAAAATCATTTAATGATTTCAATATTTTTAATAGCTGTTGAAAGCCTGTAACAGTTGCCTTAAGGATACAGGAACAAGGATACCCTGTCCCCCAACCATTTAGGTTAGAACGTACAGTAAAAAATTTCATGTGCGACCTTGTGGTAGTTTCCAATGTGAAGTTGATAATTGTGCAAGAGAGAAATATGTATAGAATTTTAATTTCAACATAGAGAGGGGATTAAAAATAAGTAAACATCTGGTATAGTTTTCAATTTGCACTACACTGTTGAATTTGTAAGAAAAAGAAACAGTAAATGAAGTTTGAATTATACTGCTGCTGTAAATGCTTACAAAAGAGAGTCTCAAAGACAAAATGTAGGTGTAAAATGAGTACAGAAAATAAATTTGCTAAGAAAGTACATGCAGAGGAAAAAAAACAAGAAAAGGGAAAATATAAGGACAGAATATATATAAAGCAATATAGAATGCATAGTGTATAATATAAATGTTTAAAAAAATGTTCTATGTAGATATTTGGAAGATTTCATATGAAGGAGACTTATTGAAGGTCATCAAAGATCCTTATGTTGTTAGCATATGTAGGTAAGTTTTTCAACAGGTATGTAGGCAATTCAAAGTCTGTCACCCCTTCCTACCTTAGACAGTAGTTTATTGTCAAAGATGTTACTACAGTATAGCAGCTTCCAGTTCTTTCTGCTCAGATTACATTATAACCTTGTCTTTCTACCAGAAGAGGTGAAGGTATTTCTGGAGGTGAAGGCTAACTATAAATAACTATCAAACCATCTACATTGCCAAAGTGAGAGGGGAAGAGTACAAAACAACATTTGATGTATTTTGGTAAAGGAGCAGAATAAACATTTCAATTATAGGATAACAAAAGTGGTTAATAAAATATCAACTGCTCACAACTTTTGTGA